TTTCATTTTTTTTTTCTACAAATCGGAATGACCTAAAATTTGGAAAGTATGTTCATAAATAGTAAGAAAATCTAAGAAAAATATCAAAAACATATTTTACATGCAAAACATGATCAAAATACCCTCTAAAAGTTTCAAGGGTATTTTGGTCAATAGTTTTCTTACGAATTATTTTTTTTATATTTTTATTAGATACGACTTACTAAGATTACATACACTCTAAATTTCATATCATTCCGATTTGTAAAAAATAAATAAATAATAAAAACCGGACAATCGTAACCATGCGATGAACTTTGGACGATGATGATGGTAGGCAAAATCACTGTTCATTTTCACCTATAGGCATTATATATATATATATATATATATAAAAACCTTAAAATGTAAAATTACAAATGCACCTCAAAAATCCATCGAAAAAGTTATTTTAATGTTGAAAAACCATCTAATTGATCATCTCAACATCGAGATGAATGAATATAGAAAAAAAAAAAAATTTAATCCCATAAATAGTGCATCTTGCAACATATTATCTAAGACCATCCACTTTCAAAATTTTCACACTTTTATAGATCTATTTGATTTTAAGCATTTTGAAGTTTAAAATTTTATGATTAGATATGAAAATAGATTTTTAGATAATCTTAAATATTTTTTACATTAAAATTTCAAGTTATGATGAAATTTGGAGGTGTACTTTAATTGGATTGTTTAAGGTTGCAACCTTATATATGGGAAGGATTGGCGTTAACCCACTAGCTAACAGCTACAGTGTTAGTTAACAACCTAGATTGAATATGGACCCGATCCAATGGTCAAGATTGTATTTCGTATTTTAATTTCATTTTGTTTCTACAAACACAAATCATTTGAAATTTTGAGCATATATTCTTCAAAATATGAGAATCTAATAAAACATAAAAAATAATAATAATAATAATATGAAAAAAATAAATTAACCTAAATACCCTAAAAAAAAATTTAGGGGTATTTGGGTCAATTATGTTTTACAAATTATTTTTTTAATATTGTTATTAAGTGCATTTAGATGAGAAGAATTGACGCCTAAAATTTCAAGTGATTTGGATTTTTAGAAAAAAAAAAAACTTCAAATACAAAATAAAGTCGTAGCTTTCAGATCGGACCAAATTCAATATGGGTTGTTGGCTAACATTATAGCTGTTAGCCCCTAGGGTAACACTAGCTTTTCTTTTATTCCAAGGACCCCATCTTAGTGAGGGTCGAATTTCAATGCGTTCGCATTTCAAAATTTATCTTTGAGATGGATTTTGGACCCAAAACTTCACAGATTATAAGCCACTATTATCATGAATCTAAAAAAGCAAAGAAAAAACTAATTTTAAGCATAAGAATAATCTCTCATTTTTTAGACCATTTATTTCAATTCTTCAAAGATACCTATTCTAAATTCATATATACAAGATGAAAATGGATGTGCAGTGCTATAAGAAGTCTTCTGGGTGCTAAAACCCAAACCCCTCAAAGTGATTACTGGTGTTACTGGTAAATACAAGTAGAAAAATTGCTATGACAAGGCTTTGCCGGGATAAACAAGGCTTTAGAAAACTGAGGCAGGAGGTCTATTGGATGGTCTAAAATTAATAAAAAATCTTGATGGTTATAAGGTCAATGAAGTAGATTCAAGTAATGCTATTGTTTGGGCAAAGGGAGAATTGAAGCCACCGTAGAGATTAAGTAGCATTTTTATGCAAGTTTTTTATTATAATTAGTGGATCTTTTGAGTTATGTCATTGTTTTAGAGACGTTAATGCTGAAGCTGATGTATTAGCAAAGGGTGATGTAAACCAATCATCGTTGGTGGTTACACCCTTTTTTTTCTTGATCTTTCTTTGTAATCTTCTCCGCGTGAATAAAATTCATAGTAGCCGTTTCCGAAAAGCAAGAAAAAAAACTAGGCCTTAGAAAACTACTCTTATATTGGCCTCATAATCACTTACATACCTAACTATTTTCTCAAATAAATCAAGGAGGCATGCCTCAAATGGCCCCTTACCTACATGACAAAAAAAAACACTGGGTTCCTAACTAAGTCTAATGAAGGGACATCCATATAAAAGATGTTATTCAACAAACGTGCATCCATTATTGGAGCAAGTTCTATTGAGGAAGATTTTTTTGAAGTGGAATTTTTGGGATCCACTTGGGTCACAAAAGTATTTTCGAAAACTAATAGATTTGAGTTCCTAAATACTTAGGTCTAACCATCTCAATTGGACGGTCAGATTTTTTGAATGTTCAGGTACTTTGATTATATGAATTTTTTTTTTTTTAATATCCTGGCTATAAAGTTACATGCCAAAATATTTTCAAACGCGAAAGTGCTACAGTGTTAGGAAGCGGCAGTTTCCAAAACTATTGCTTCCAGAAACCATACATGCCATTTCTGGACATGCTCACATGGGAGTATATAATCTGTTAGTATTAATTGAACCAAGTCACATTAAAAACAAATGAGAAATGTAAGGTGAGCTCTACAAGGGTACTGGTGTGCCAGGCATCTAGGAAACAGATCGCAAACAAATGGATGGTTGAGAATGAAGTGTGAGTTCCATTAAGCAAAATCCATGTGAGCATGTACCCTTTGAGCCCAGTTCACATTATCTTCTCCTAGAGGTGTGGTTTTCATAGGGCCCAGCTTTATGGTACGGAAAAAGTTTATATAGAGCCGAGGATCTAAACAATCAAATTAGAGCCTGCCTAAAAATTTCATTAAAAGAGGTTGTTTTGATGCCCAAATATCCTCAATTTGATCATCTAAACATCTAGATGCATGGACATGAGAAAAAAATAGATTTCAAGTCTTAAAAATAATGCATCTTGCAATGCATTTTGGACTGTCAATTTTCAAGTTTTCTTATATTTGCCTGATCTGCACTATTTTTTAAGCTTTAAATTTTATAATTAAAGATGAAAATATATTTTAAAGCTACCGCAAAGATTTTCATTATTGAAACCACATTTCTTGGCACTATTTAAAGGCGTGTTTTACTTTGATTGTTTAGAGCCTCGGCTCTATACAAACCGTACCGTTATGGTATTCCCTGGCGAAAAATGCCGTTATGATGACATGGTACCATTACAACGGCTTAAAAATGTCTTTTTTTTCGAATTTTGAAATTTCAGAAGTAGAGCAGATCTAACAGATATATGAATACTTAAATTTAATGATTTAAAAATACATATTACAAGACAGACTATATTCAGGACTTGAATTGAGACTATAACTTTGCAAACTTTTCGACACCTAAATTGCATTGTCCATTGAGATTTGACCATGAGAGCTAAAAAATACTTCCTTGTTTTTAATATAAATTTGGATATCAAGGGGGCCAATAATTGTTCTCAAATTCATATGGATATGAAACTGTTAAGTTTGTTTGGATGTCCTTCCTTTTGGTAGGAGATAGAACCATCTATCCACACGACACGTGAGATAACTACTACTTTGTGGGGCGGACACCTGACAATGGGAGGACACTGTGTCCGTTTCTCATTCTTGCTTGGCCTTTTGTGTAGTGGAGTGACACTCATATTGTGTGAGAGAGGGTTAGGG